CAAATAATAAGCGTAAAGCATGTTCGATACCTATATATGTATAAAAAATGCGGCTATTTTTTGGGGAGACGCCTGTTTCCGAATTAGTGCAACAAGAATAGGGTCAGAAATAAATTAGTAGCATAGTCATGGCGCAAAAAAGTGTCGGTCCCGTGACCTCCGAGCTGTCCGGCCAGGGCACATGGCTAAATCTGTAGTAACTACTAAATCTGTAAGTGACGCGCGAAAAAGATAAACATGCTAAAAGTCTTTATTGTTGTCTGTTATAAATATTAATATATAGTTATTATAAAATAATACCTTCCCCCAGCACCCACACTGCTATTCAACACTGCTATACTATGCTATCTTAACCAAAAGGCAAGTTTAGATCTGCGTGGAGGGTTCCAAGTTCTTTGTTGTCTTCTAGCTCTCAATGCTTCCTGGCAAGCCACAGCCTCACTTGTTAACGTTTGTTTCAGCTTTTTATAAATATTGTAGAAGGGATCATTATCAACATTGTCTGAAACGATTTCTAATAAAGCCTCGAATGTTTTCTTGTCCTCTTCCACTTCAGCTTTTCTAAAGTCAATCAACTCATTTCGATCACGCAAGCTTAACTCGTCACTATTTTCTAATTCATTTTCAAATTCAGTGGAAGAATCCTCAACAAAATTATTCCAGGGACTATTTGCTGGCTCAATACTTGGAACATTCTCACTTCCGAAACAGATTAGTGGATAATCGTGCCTTCGTTTCGTAAGAACAAACTGAGGAAAAAAGTTTGGATTTTCAGCTGTGTATCTTTCTACAAGATGTTTACATAACAGATAAGTACTGCCTACGAATGCAGGACATGAACAAATCCATCTTTCGATATCAGTATAATACGTTGTATCCGTATTGACTTCCTTTTCTAGTGCAGTTTTCCAGTCTTGTTTGAACGCCCCCCACCATGACGGGAATGTACGATTACCGCAGTACTTTTCCCAGTTGTCTATTTGATCGGGAATTAATTCGTTTGTTAAAATCTGTGTCAAGCGATCCAAACGAGGTCGGTTACAATTACGTTTATAATTGTGTTTGAGGACGCGCCAGTGTGATTCTACCAGCATAGTGGTTCTTGCTAATGGTAATGCTTTTGAATATGAGGCTCGAGCAAAAAGATTCCACCAATTTTTCTTGTACCAATTGATCCATAAGTACCCCCATAGGTAAACGAGATTCTTCTGCTTGCAGTAATTGTACGCCTCTCTAAC